AAATGGGGGAGGGAAGGGGGTAATAAAATCCGTACAGTATTGTGCGTAAATAAATGTGGGGTGAAAGAACGATTAAAAAATATAAAATCAATAATTCTTGAGTGAAAATATTTACGTACAATAATTTGAAGAATGTGGTTTGATTATTGAAAATAACATTGGGTTAGGTAGATTATATAGTTTAGAATATACGCATAATTTAGAAAGTAGATTAAAAATTAAAAATTCAAATTTTAAAATGAGCTTTAATCTAGGAATAAATGATATATGGTGATATTTTAAAAATATAATTGATTTAAGTTAACATTGCATAAATTAATACTCTTTCTATAATCAAAATATTTCAAAATATATGAGTATTTAAAATAAAGTTAGAAAATACACAACCTATATTCATATCACTATTTAATTATTACAGTCCACGGATTTCAAAATTAATGTCAAAGTTAATAAAAAAAAACTTAAAATCTTATATAGATAATTAATATATTTGCCTTAAATAATGTATATTTTATTGAAAATATCGGATCCTATTACCATAAACATAACGCGAGATTAAAAAACATAAATATTAATAGGTTTTAGTAGAATGTAAAATATTTAATTTCCATATTGAAAGAGGCATTTACGTGTGAATAAGTTGGTTACTAAACATGTTATAACAATTTATTATTGTTAATTTAATATATGTAATTATAAAAAATATTTTAACCGGTATTAATTTATCAATTTTATTTGAAAATATATTAAAATATGGGTGATTAATCTGATTCATACGTAAATGTTTCATAAAATATATTACGTAGATCGTATAATATAATATAGATTATTATATTATAAATACAAATATTTACGTAAAAATAACAATGTTATCTATATGGGTACTCTCTTTCGTATGTCAATATATAATCTTTGTAATGCAATGAATGTTCAAATATATAAACAATTTTATTTATATTCATAATTCATTTTGGCATAAATGAATAAATACGTTTGCCGCATTAAAAAACATAAGTAACTTTATTGAAATAAACTTCATGCAAAATTATTAAGGACATTGTCTCAAAACAGAAATACGTATTATGTCTCTAAATACGAAATACCAAATAAAATCGAAATCAATAACAAAAAATGACGAATAAATTTAAATAATACATTACTCCATTTTCTCTTGTTTGATATTTTTCAATAATTTGGTGGATGATTGCTGGACGGTAGGATCATTGAGAATACTATCCAAAATACTATCGTTGGATCGCTTCATTGGAGTAATAGCGTTGACATCATCATCCACAATAGCATTAGTTGTGATATCACCATCCACAACGCCATCGATAAAATTAGAACACGTTCCTATAAATTAGCAAAGAATTACGTAAAATATATGTGTATTTGTGAAACATCTCTTACGTGCAACATATGAACAATTAATCAAAAACAAATTGTCAACCTTTGATGAGAAGACACACCCATCGTTGTCATAATTGAAACTCAGCGACGATGAACCATTATCATGTTTCTACAATATTATAAAATACATACACATTCAAAACCACGTATTAAAATAAAAAGAAAGAATTATATTAAAGTTAATTATCAATACCGCATCCATTTCGTAATGCTTCAAGAATGAAGCAATGATAGCATCATCTGTGCAAACTTTTTGAATATTGTAGGTTTTATGATCTTCATTGGCAACATTATCACCCTTGATAGCAATTTTGAATAACATTCTTCGATCAATTAACCCCTCAAGTTCCATAGGATATTCCACAGGTTCTTCTCCCTTCATAGCATTAAAAATAAATAAATGATAAAAATACAAAATTAATTGATTACTCTAAAAAAATGTATATTTTAGATAAAAAAAAGGATGAGTGGTTGATCAATGTACCCTGTTTTGGATTGTTTGAATTAATGCTTCTACAGGAATATCTAGCATCCTTCAGCTTCTTTCCCAAATACAATCATCGAAGCTGAATTTGTATCGTCCATGAAAATGACTTCAACTTTATAACTAAAGAGAATAACAAAATGTGAATGAAAAGTATTTGTAGAATAGTAATATAATTAACCCAAAGAAAAAATAAATAGTACATACGTTGGCTTAGCAGTAGGCCAATGAGCTTTGCAAACGTGACAATACCACATTTGAATCCTATCTAGCAAATCTATTACACTTAATGCCACCATTGTACCACCACTTTGATGTTTTCTCAAGACCCTTAATAGTGGCCAATACAACATATTTGCCAGGCTAAAATGTGAAAATAAGCATCAGTTAAGTATAGTTACAATCAATTTTGATAAATGATTCCTATTAGTATTTTTACTGAAAAAATGTACGAATAAATAATGTAGCGAATACATCGTTATTACCTCATTTGTGTCACTCAGTTCGTCCAATTTTTTTCTGACAGTCTTACGTATGAAATCATCTTCCATTGAGTAAGAAGACTGCGACGATTTTTGACTTATCACTTGACCACTATTTGGTTTACTCCGAATGAGACTAAAATGAAAAGTTACATGCAAATAAATCGTAATGAAAAAAATAAATTTTAAAAAAACGTAATTAATGCATTTAAATATACAATTGTAACCTCGATTTGAACTCATTAATTGCAGGTATATCCTCATTTATAAGCACGCGTGATGAATGCCAATGGTTAGATACCTGAACTTCACCTACGAAAACATAACAATAATAGTGAAATGTAATAAATGACCCTAACATTAATTATACATGGTGCATAAAAGAAATTATTGAACACACTAATACCATTCTTTATCTCAGTCGTTGCAAATTGTATTACAACAATATACGGCCCTACACCAATATCTTGAATTCGTTGAAGTATGTATTCAGCAAACTTTCCCCATAACAAACAGTTGACCTTCGAACCACTTGCATAACAAATAAAATGATAATTGATATGTAAAACACATGAAAACATAAATGATTTAAAATCCAAAAAAATATATTTTAGTATTTTTGAAAATACTCAATATCTTCAAGTTCAAATGGAATGTTTTGTTTTGTTCCACCCGATAGTTGATTCAATGAACCTATCGACAAAAGCGAACCAATAACATCTGCAATTAATATTACACAATTGTAAGAATACATCCAGTAAATAAATGCTAAATATTAAGAAAAACATCAATGGAAAAATTTAATACCTATCGTATACTCATTGTTGTTTGACGCTTGTTGTATATCTGCGTAAAATGTGAACTTAAATGAATACATTGGAATGGACGGAACGCCAACTTCTCTCACAGTAGATGTATATTCAAAAGTGACTCTATAGTCATTCAAGGCATGCTTGTAGGTCTTGACACTAAAAAAAGCAGATAGGTTTGATATTACATAACATCTGTTCACTTTGATCTTAGACTGAAATCTGTATAACAGTGTATACTTAATGGAAGCTTGCACTGTATCACCCTGCGTAATGAAAAAACAAATGTGAAAAATATAATTTCCTAACAATCATATTTGACGTATTAAAATAAAATAATTACCTGTTCATCAATGAATATCATCTCCATGTCCTGAAGATCTTTCTTAAAATAATTTGGCTGTTTCTAAATGTGCAAAACATGGATTTTGAGATTCCATGACTTTTTTTCACCTCCCAAGTTTCTAATGAGATCTACTTGCCTTGACATCTATATGTGTTTAATACACGTAATCAAAAATTTGTTAGTGAATTAAATCAAACAATAAAAGATGAATATACGATAACAACTCTTGAATTATATATATTCCAAAATATGCATAAGAGTATAATATATATCTATTCCAAAATATGCATAAAGTATAATATATAATCTATCTGATAAAGTTACATTAATTCATATGCTCGGGTATCGTGAAAGAAAAAAATTAAAAAAAAAAAAGGTAAAAGATTATTCTAAAATAATATTATACTCTCGATTCACACAAAGAGAACGATGGTCGCCTGATGAAGTATCGAGAGAACAATATTATCCCGCACTCTAGAATAACAATGAAATGAACCGTGTATATATAATATGATGATATTTAATAAATCCTAAATCATAGTAAATGAGATACACTCATGGAAGTAAAAATATAATTCCTAAATTTTAGATCCGTAAATATAGAGAATCAAATACAATTATATTTAATAGTATCGAAATTAGAGTAAATTATATTTAATAAATATTCATATTCCATGTAATTAACTCAAATTAAGGAATTTCCTATATATATAATGCATACATTACGATTAGGCACTTATATATATGCCTAATCTATATTAAATTTAGATCACACACATATATATAAAAGATTACATATTCATATATATAGCATGTTTCTATTGTTACGATATATATATATATATATATATATATATATATATATATATATATATATATATATATATATATATTGTGTATATGGATTCTATTATTTCGTAAATCATAATAGTAAATGGAATATAATTAATTAATAGTTCAATAATTAGAGTAAATTATAGTTAATAACTATTCATATTACATGTAATGAATTTTCGATTATGAACATATTATATGCCTAATTTATATTAATATCTATATAAATTAGTATATTTATATTGTTAAAATATAAAATAAGTATATTAATATCTATATAGATTAGTATATTTTCGATTTACCATATTTATATTGTTAAAATAAGTACATATTTTATGATTTTATATATCTAATATATAGGACCAGCCAAGATGCATCTTTTTTTCGTTGTACATGGCATTTTTTTT